CTTGGGCTGTAGAATCCCTCCTTCTCCATCACTTTGCTTACTCTGTAATATCATAGAAATCGACCACCTACCAATTAAATATAAAAACCCACTCCTCATTTCTCTAGCTATTGCCAAGAAAACAATCTTTCAAAATTGGAAATCAAAAAAATCACTACACATAAACCACTGGACCAACCTTCTGACAGAATACATCACATTAGAGAAAATGGCATCCACTCACAAGAATAGTTTATCAGCTTTTTATGACACATGGAACCATTTCTAACACATTTCAACTTGAACCAAACACCTGGGGCTGAGGCCACGCACATTCCCACCAACCTCTAGAAATGTAACAAGTTGATTTTATTAGTAGTACTGTTATCATCATCATTATTATTGGTCTTTTTTTTTTTATTCCACTCCTTTTCCCTTTCTTGCATTTCATAGACTGCATAAGTTGGAAATACCCACACTTCACACATTACAACCTTGTTAAACACTCTATATGCTTTTGTAATGTCATGTAACTGTTGTCTTGTCTCCCATGTTCAGTACTTGGGTCTTGGCTTCTGTTTTTCAGTCTTTAAATTGAAGGGAGGTATAGATTTTCCTCATGTTTTAGTGTGTTTTTGATTGCTGCAGTCGATGCCCATATGGTGGTATCTGGGCAGAACAAAAGAGCTCGATGCTGAGAGAGATTGTCATGTTTGTGTAACTCACCTGTGGGCGGTTTTTACAAGGTTCCCGCACCTGACAGCCCAGACCTATGTTGCTGGCTCCCGGCCAGGGTAAATAAGAGATAGGATATGGAAATATTGGTGTGTGTGTGTGTTTGTTTGTGCAGGCCATTGCCCCTCTTCTGGAAAACAACCATCCACCACCTGACTTGTGTGAGTTCTTCTGTAAGGTAAGATTAAGTGCTGCATTAATAAGCAAAGTAGAACAACACTGAACATTTCTGTAGTAAATTTAAATTGTTGTAAGTGTTTGAAAGGCTGACGGTTACTCTTGTGTGCTGCAGCACTGCCGGGAGCGGCCGAGATCGATGGTGGTGATTGAGGTGTTCACTCCTGTCGTCCAGAGAATTCTCAAACACAACATGGTGAGAGGAGCTCAGTAGTGTGGACGAGAGCTTTGTTAGCTTGTTGTTTGTTTGGTTAGGTTGATGGATGACTGATCCCTAGGTGCGAGTGGTTTTCTGTCTCTGTGTGTCAGCACTGTGATGGACCGGTCCACGGCGTACCCTGCCTCTCAGTCAGTCTAGTTAGGACTGGCTTCAGACCAGGCTGAGTGGTCAAAGTGCCAAGAAGCCCAACATCCTTCTCATCTCTTGTCATCTTTTTACTTTCAACTAATGAGCAATAAAGCATAAAATGCCCCAAGAAATAATATAAAAAGGACTTGAAAATACAAATCCCTTCCCCACCCCACTGTACTGTAGCAGCGTCTGAATTTCACTCCTTGGCTTAAATACAAAGGCTGGGTACAGAAGAACAGATTTTCCAGCTGAAAATTTGCCCTTCATGTGTCCCCAGTGCACTGTTCAACAAAGAGACATAAGCCGAATAAATGACACCACCTATGGTGGATGAAGGCTCTTTCAGTTGTTGTAATTACAGAACAGCAGTAGGAGAAGATTAGCATTTTTGGTTTATATATTTATATAACTCTTTGGCAGGATTTTGGGAAGTGCCCTCGACTGCGTCTCTTCACTCAGGAGTACATCCTGGCTCTCAATGAGCTGAATGCTGGGATGGAGGTGGTCAAGAAGTTTGTCCACAGGTGAGTAACGGTAGTGTACAATCATACCTGTCAACAGGCCCTAGAAGTTTTTTAATGGCCTGTTCATAAGATTTATACATGTAATTGAGTATTAGTGATAGAAGGCCAGGATTTATGTTAATGACTGCTGGTTTTGTGTTTTACCTGTTTGTATACATTTGACCAGTTTCATACCCAAACCTTGTTCTTCTCACGGCTGAAAAGTCTCTAAATCACATGTAGACTCCTCATGAAAATGCTCATGAAACATGAAATACTCAAAGCAGCGTGAGGTCCACTGGGCTGATTGTGTGCTGTGACGAAGGCTGACCCTTCACCAGGTAGTTGGGACCATGGTATCTGACCTGTACTTGTGTGTGTTGCAGCATGCATGGGCCAACCGGTCAGTGCCCTCACCCTCGCGTCCTGCCAAATTTAGTAGCAGTGTGTCTGGCTGCCATTTATTCCTGTTATGAGGAGTTCATCAACAGGTCAGTTATACACATCCACAGCTTCACATTTGATTTGATTAGTGTTTCATCTTTCCCTCAGTTTATCCATATACCTTTCCACTCATGTCCAGACCGACAGCTGCAGATTGAGCAGCTTGGATCCTGATGGTCAGCAGTACAGACGAAACCGTATACATGTAATATTCGTGATTATAATGACCAAAATGATCAGTATTTCAGTTAGCAGTAATATCAAGGTATTGTTAAAATGTGCTGAAAATGTTCCTAAAGTACTGAAAAACAAGCTCAAAATTTTAATTTCCGGTTATATAGTAAAAGCAAAAATCAAATTAGCAGCACTATAGACTTTTTGTAGATAAGGACAAGGGGCCAGTAACATTACTGGGTCTGCCTGCTGAATACCCACTCTGTTACTAAGGGAACACTCATTTATTATCATTATTATTATTCTCTCTCTTAGAAATACACAGAGTATTAAGAAGACTGATCGTAATTGCAGTGAGTCCACCACCTAACATAAATGTAGAGGAGTATAGTGTTTCTCTTCTAGCCAATGTCTGTTGAACAAAATATGTTGTTTGGCCGACTACATAATGTGTTAACTTATGCAATGAATGAATAGACTGCAGACACGAGGCATACAGCAGCAGGACAACATGTGATTTTATAAGAGTAGGTAACACTGAAGGCTTCCCTTTACATTACCACGACCTTCCCTCCCGTCTGAGGTCCCCACATCTTGCAAGGAGCTAAAAGTGAACTTACTTTTCTTTCTGCAGCTTCTGCAGACAGGATGACCATCTTCAGTCAGGTCTCTTCTAAAAGACAAAACACAACCACCACCACCACAGGATAATTAAAACTGGTTATACTACCCACTGGAAATGTGACCATGGTTTACCATGAAACTAGTAACCAAGCTAAAACAAGCCACACCCCTCACTGAGGCTCCATACTGACTGGAAACAACATGGCTACCTCAACACACGTTCTCTGACAAAATACCCAAAAGAGAAACATGAGTAAAAGCTGTTTCTGTTGCCTTGCTCTAGCTGTAGCTCACTGTGTTATAGTTTATACTGTGTACTCTTTCTCACTCAGCGATTGGCCTGGTGCTCACACTCCCTAGCACTAATGTATCTAACATAACAGCCCTGCAATAAATCCTATCTTGATGAAGGCTTATTGTTCAGTGTTCTAGGTTTAGAGAGAGGCTGATTTATTGTTACGGCCATTTTGCAGACTAGTTTGTGCTGCTGTTAAATAAATGTAATGTGTTCATGAAGGTGGGATATACAGTATCACATGGCTGTTGTGCTAGACGGCGAGACATTCAGCTGGGTGTACCTACCTGTAATAATACACTGGCACCTGAGTGTAAGTAAACATAGGTTTGTCAAGTGCACAGTGAAGTGAGTTTTGAGTTGTTTCCCCAGAAAGAAATTTAAAATGTAGATAATTCTCTAAAAACATTAAAGGATGTTTGATGGGATTTTGTTCTAGAACAAATACGCTGATCACTGCCTGGAAATCAGTGCCTGAACACATTAAAGTAAAATAGCTGGTGTGAGAAAGAGGCTTTGCCACAGCAGACTGATCATACCATTCAGTGTCGCTTACTCCTGTAGTAGGAGGGCCGTTGTTTTGTTTGCCTCTGTCCATTTTTCACTGGATAGACAAACATGGCTGGTAATTTCTCACATCTCATTGAACTAGTATGAAGGAAACTGTCCAGTCATAAGCAGAGTTTACCACATTACTGTCATCTGAGCACATTATGATGTGCAGTGTCCCCAGCATGGGATTTTATTTTAAATAAATATGTAAACATGGTCTCCCAGTACAATAGAAGTAAGAAAATATATAAAATACCATCAATAAATAGAACTGCATTAAATGTGTAATGTGATCAGATTTATTTCAAAGGATAACCTGAAGCTGCATATGAAGTCTGGTGATGTCGGTAGATTGTCTCTTTTTTTCTTTTCAAGAAAAGAACTCGTGGGTTTAACAGGGACTATACACAGCACGACAGCTGGCAGAACAGACTTCAGCCACATCACAGATCATATCACAGTACTATCTTTACATTTAGTATTGGCATAGTTAATGAATGTAGTTTATTGTTCACACCCGCCAACAGTCAAACACTAAATTCAGATACAGAAACACTATTTGCAGTGCACAGGAATGGAGAACCAACTCTGAGTATATTGTTATGAAAGGGTAGAATATGTATATTTATAATGTATTTAAATGGTCGTGCTTCTTTCTAGCCTGTTCCATGGGGACTTTTTGTTTACTGCAGATATGTAGCATATTCTTAACTCATTAGCGTCATCTCCTTGGCTTCCTTCGCCCCAGAGAGGGACACTTCCTAGCTGTTTTTCCAAAACTCCAGCACACAAAGGAGCCATCACTGTGGCACCCATCTCTCCTGGCTCTCACCACCTCACTTATTATTCTGAGGCCTCTTGTTTATACTTACATTGACAGTGACACTTAATGACCCTGCCATGAGCAGAGGTGTTGTACTTGGCCTGCTCACCTTTCTTCTCCCTGCAGTCGGGACAACTCCCCCAGCCTGAAGGAGATCAGAAATGGTTGCCAGCAGCTGAATGATCGCAAACCCCCTATGCCGCTCTGCCTGCTGCGCCCCGAGCCTCCGACGCCACCTACTGCCACCCTCCTCCCCCTCTCCACCAACTCCAGCCTTCCTCAGCTGCCTACTCCCCAAAACCCCATCCCACCCATCCCCATCTCCTCCCCGATGCCCTCCCTGCCTCTCTCCCCTCCTCCTTCTGTCGTCAATTCCAGCGAGATCCTGGTGGAGCTGGAGCGGAACAACAACTCAGCCAACACCAGGCTCAAGGGCGGGCCGATAGGGAGCGACAGCGAACCCAACCTCATCGACTGCCTGCTGGTCAGCCCAGCCCTCAACACCCTGTCCATTCAGCTGCCTGCACAGGCCGACCGAGTGCTGGGCTGCTTTGCACTCATCCTCAAGATGCTGTGAGTTCACACATTAAACTGTCACTGTTCCTGAATACTGATGGAACAGGCCAACATGTTGCATACACATTTTCCCAGAGTTAAATAAGTAGATCAGTATCAGCATTCGTTGGAGGTAATATACAGAGATGAACAGGGGGCAGTCTTTGTGCTGAGCTAGGCTAAACATGTCGTTGACCTACCTGTACCTGTGCACTGGTCCCTCGGGTGTTAATCTTTTCATATGATTCTGTTTAAGAAAGGAAACGAGATGATTTCCAAAATGTCAGACTGTGCATGTAGCTCAAGTTTCAGCTGTAAGAACCGCTGCTACGCTGATTCTACTGCCTCCAGTGCAATGAACTGAGATGAACATTGGTTACACACAGTGGCGGGCTGTGCATTTGGTACCTGGACCTTCAGTGGGGACTTACCCGACTTAATTCACCTCTTAATACCACCACTGTACGTTGCAATTATAGAAACCATCAGTACTATACAAAAACGCAGTATAATAAAGTGTGGCATTACAGAGAAAGAGGCATTTCGCGTATTGAGGGTGAATATCGTTTTTACTAAAGCAAGAAACCCAGTTAAGACAACTCCAAAACCTCTACACTACAACCGCAACTGTGCCACGTACATCATCTAGCGCAGTTCAGAATCAATATTTATCTAATAACATGACAAAAACATACAAAATTTAAATTAAATACTAGATGAGATGCTATTTATTTATATTTGAGATGCTATTTATTTATAGACAAAATCCATCCTCACGGAGGTGATCTCTGTAAGTCCTTTTCTAGTTTTGCTCTGACCAACCAATCAGAGGACGGAAAAATGCTGACATCATTGTGGGCCAGCTAGCTGGCCCTGTGAGGCGAATTTGAAATCTGATTGGTTAAAGAAACAGTCCCACTGCTAATATAGTTTAAGCACTACTGATTCTGAAGGCCCTGGGCAGATTAGATTGACATGGCAACACATAGAGGCTGAAATCTGATTGGACAAAAAAATCTAACATCCATACACACGTACTGGAAGCAGTGCAGCCAAGAGAAACGCTACGAAATGAAGAGAATAGAGTGTTGGGAATAAATTAATACAATTTCATGGAACAAATATTAGAATTTAGGTTGTAAATGTAGGTCAGTGCTTCTGATAGTGTTTAGGCCAGCAGAGAAGGCCACTGGTTACACATGATAGAAAGGAGTACGATAGAGGTCCTACAGCAACAGGATGTCATTTACAGTGAATAAGCCATTGGCTTTCATTAGATTTGACAACATCCCATAATAATAATTCTTCATACACAGAGATTCACAGATGGATCGGCATAACAGTCAGAACACTGACCCAGACTGCACAAAGTCAGCTGATGCAGGGAGTGATGCATTAACTGTGTGAGTTCCAAACCATCAACCGGCAGCATGGACCAGAAACACAGATGTCTTTCCTTAATCCAGAAATTCACATATATCACTGCAGTGTAAACAGGCAAAGCTTCACCCATAACAAGCTGTCAGTACAGGATCTTAGAGGGATTTTTCAGCTGCAGTGGATCGCTCTGTGAGCGGAGACCCTGCTGGGCCCGTCACCAAGTCACTGATCACCACAGCGCTGGTCTTGGAGCCTGCTAAACTTTAAACAGCCTCAGACACACATATGATATCTTTGAAAGAGATGATAACATAACCATGAATGACCCCAGTGCTGATTACACAGTGTGAAAGTGGGGCAGCAGTGTGTGTCCTTGTGTTGGGGTGTGGGTATGTTAACCAAACAGCCTGGCCTAAAAACCACAGTGTCTGTGCTTTTTTAACAAAGCCAGTTACTTGACTCACAGTAATGTGATGCTGTCGTTCGTTACAGTCAACGCCGTAGGTTTGCGCCACCTCATGTTTCAACTACTCCCGTCTTTTTGTTCTGCAGCCTCAGTAATCCAGACTTCTCCATCCTCTTTCCATTGTTACACTGACTTCCTTCATCTGTCTGTCTCTGGCAGGTCAGACTACGATGACTGGAGACCGGCTCTGGCCAGCCTGCTGCAGCCCATCCCCTTCCCTAAAGAGTACGTATTCAACTCGCACTGGGCAGTCACACCTAATTCATTCATCTAGTAATGTCTTAGAATAGAATAGAAAATATCTGCACATCTAATGCCAGCTGTAAGCCTTTACCATATAAAGTGCACCATGAAATTGCACAATAATATTACACATCTGAAAGAGGTAGTGTTATTTAGTGTTTATTTGCAATTCAAATGGCCCAGGGGAAGAAGCTATTAGTTAGTCTGGTGGTATGGGATTTTATTGACCTGAAGCGCTGTCCAGACGGCAGCAGGTCAAAAAAATGATGAGCAGGGTGTGAAGGCTCTCCTGTGATGGCTTTGATTCTGCTGAGATTATTCAAGCTACTTAAAGCAGCCAACCAGACACCATAGTCCCATTGAGTGAAAAGGGGAGTTCATGAAAGTATACACTCACAGGCCACTTTATTAGGTACACCTTTACAGCTGTATGCACGTCAGTGCAACACTTCCGCCTTAGCATCTGTGTTTATGAAGCTCAACATGTCTGTTTTTGGTGAAACTGTCATAAATGTATAAATTCAATTATATGTTTATAATTGAGGTAGTTAAAGGTGGTGTTGAGCTACATTATATTCAGAGGTGTCTCTATATTTTTGTCCTCCCCAGTTGCATACATGAGAGGGTCAGAATTTTAGGAACATTTCATAAACACAGATGCTAAGGCGGAAGTGTTGCACTGACGTGCATACAGCTGTAAAGGTGTACCTAATAAAGTGGCTGGTAGTGTTGTTTTCGTCAACGAAAATTGTGACTAAATATCGTCGTCAACAAACCTTTATCACGTGACGGAAACGAGATGAGACGCAACGTAAATGCTGGTCATGCGACGAAGACTATAATAAAAGGTATAATGCGATATACTAAATATCGTCGTCAACAAACCTTTATCACGTGACGGAAACGAGATGAGACGCAACGTAAATGCTGGTCATGCGACGAAGACTATAATAAAATGTATAATGCGATATTGTTGACGAAAAAAAGAGACTAAATGTGGTTTACAAAATAAAAACTATGCTAAAATGTCTCTTCATTTTCTTTGACCAAAACGAGACGAAACGAAATGTTATTTCGTCTCGTTTAGTCGCATTATTATTATTATTTTGCAGTATTTCAGTTTCCTGTGTCTCGCTTCAGGGGCTGCATCAGGTCGCATTGCGCAGACGCAGGCGACGTCACTTCCTTAAGCCTCACACGCGACATTATTTAGAAGACGACAAAAAGCAAAGTTAAGTCTTACAGAGAGAAAGTTAAGATGGCCGGCCAGCCGGGGTCCATTGGGAGAAAGAGAAGAAACAATATTTGGAAAAACTTTAATTACATAGAAGTGGAAAAGAAAACAATGTGTTGTGGAAAAAGATGGGGAGAAATGTGGCCACAAAATCACACTAAATGTGTATTGGATGTATTCTTGAGTCTATAAGGTAACAATAATATAATAAGATAACCTTGTTTGAAATGGGTTTGGCTAAAAGAAAAATTTGGTTTCGTCTGTACTACTAGGTACTTATACTATATTGACTGGGTTAAATAGAATTGCATTACTAAAAAGAGACTAAAATACAATTTTCATGAACTAAAACTAGACTAAAATGTCATCACTTTTCGTCAACTAAAACTAGATGAAAATAGTCATGGATAATTCTGACTAAAATAAGACTTTTAGTTGACTCAAACTTGACTAAACTAAAAAGAGTATGAACGTGACTAAAACTAATAAAAACTAAAATGACAGCTTCACACAAAGACTAGACTAAAACTAACATTAAAACAGGCCGCCAAAAACAACTATAGTGTAGCAGCTGCAGCGTGACACAGGAAGGCGTGTAAGACCCTGTGTCCTGGGTCGAGGCCTAGTAGTGTAGGTCACCCACCTTTTGGCCCCACACACTTACTGTGGTTATGCTACTACCACCCATTGGACTCGCCTCTGCTCCATCTCCCGCCTTTTCATTTGTTTCCAGTGTAGCATTTCACCATCTCTGCCAGTGTATAGTAGCGGGGGGTCCAGCTGTTGACAGGTGTAATGAAGTAAAGCCTCCCAAGAGCCCACTGTAATTGGTAATAAGCAGCTCGAAGACTTCTTTGTAATTGACTAGCTGATCCAGAGCTTCATTAGCATTGACTGGTGGATGACTTGTTGTTTGTCCAAACATGAGACACAGACACACCTGTTGTTCACCTGCGCCACTGTTGCCTGGTTGATGGCTTCAGGCGTCATTAGGAAAGGCAACAATACTCCCCAGTACCCTGCAGAGGACGCAATGAGTCATGTCAGCGCACTCACAAATCTGGTGACACACACTATGGCATGCTTAGACAACTTCATACACACATGCAGAACACTTATTAGCATACGTATATGTTGTTTGCTTAATCCATATAAAAGCTGATTTGTAAAAAGACAATTTGCCATCTTACGGGGGCCGTGTGCCGGACTGTTTCTTCTTATCTCAGTCTTGGTGAGATATGTTATTTCACAAAACATCAAACTGTTCCTTTGTTTCTGTAATTTGACTTTATATTCAGTGACATCATGAATGAGGTCTGATATGGAGCTGAATGTGTATTTTCTTGCACTTGTATCTCACACGCAGCCTTAATCTTTAGATTAAGTTACTCAGTTAACCTGTATCATCACAAACATATTTGTGTAAACTCCAAAAAAATAACTATTTTAAAATCCCAGTGGAGATCCTAAAGTTTCTAGAGAAAAAGAAAACTGGCAGGTGAGCTACAGACCGCTACTTAAGTACTTATGTACAGCCTCTGATACTGATAGTTATATCAGTATCAGAGGCTGTACATAAGTACTTAAGTAGCCTTAAAATACCTGGTCCCTGAAATATTTCACACCATGAACGCTCCAGACAGTGTTGGAACAGGCCGACACACTAAATGGATTTGCATCCAGGGTTATTCACAACTTTATCATCAGTGGTCAGTGGAGAAAGTGATTCCCCGGACACCAGTCAACCTCTTACAGCTGCTTTTAAAGCACAACTGTAAGGATTCCCCACAGAGATCATTAAAAAGTCATCTCAAGTAACAAACAATCCCAAGAGGTTCACATGCTCTTATCATGTGTACTGACTGTCATAATGAGCCGTGCACTCCCTCTGAAACCTATCTAATCCTGGAGAATGTCTCCACCAAGCTGTGGTAACACCGTGCTACTCTAACATTACTATGACAGATATATCCACAGAAATATGTTTGTTTGGCTACATTTCTCAGTTTTGGCTGTAATCTCTCCATTCTCTCATTGTCTCCCCTATGTTCAGGGCTCTTGCGCATGCCAAATTCACAAAGTAAGTAACTCCGACACCTGCTTCACAGATTGACTTGGGTTCCCATTTGAAAGCCTGACATTTCTGTCCTGCTGTCTCTCTGTCTAAACAGGGAACTGAAATATGTCATTCAGAGATTTGCGGAGGATCCGAGGCAGGAGGTGAGTGTGTGTTTGTATATGTGTATTACTGTTTTAACTTTGTAGTGTTTCTAAAGCTTACAGAACATCATGAAATCAGAGGAATCATCTGTGTGTGTATTTTCCAGGTCCACTCTTGCTTGCTCAGTGTGCGTTCAGGTAAAGATGGCTGGTTTCAACTCTACAGTCCAGGAGGTGTGGCCTGTGATGATGATGGAGAGCTGTTTGCCAGTATGGTGAGTGAACAGAGACGCTCACACAAAGGCTTTATATTACTGGTCTGTGCTAATGAATGCATGGCTGTGCTCCTTACAAGGTTCATATTCTGATGGGCTCCTGCTATAAGACCAAGAAGTTCCTGCTCTCTCTGGCTGAGAACAAGCTGGGCCCCTGCATGCTGCTGGCCCTGCGTGGAAACCAAACCATGGTGGAGGTATGTCCATGTTCGTGTTTCTGTTAATTCTTCTGTCAATCAGATTTCTCTTTTGTTCTCCAAATGTGTCAATATCAAAGCACCAGAGGCCAAAATACCTAGCAAAAATGTTACATCCGATAATGCAAGCAGTGGTATTTGTTAGATTTTTCCTTGTAAACAAACACCCATGGAGTTTGTAACAGGCTTTCTCTAATGAATTTGTAGCCTTCAAGCTTAAGATGAGATAACGCTGATGACATTGCTATGACCTCATCAGGGTTATTTTTGCCAGATTTGACTAAGCTCCTCCGGAGCCACAGAAGACATACAGCGGACTGAGCAGTACTCATCACAGTGTGAACCGGTCATCACATCTAAAAGCAGTAAACCGCCCCTTTACAGTGTGTGTGTGTGTGTGTGTGTGTTTGTCTGCGTGTCCAGATCCTGTGTCTGATGCTGGAGTACAATATCATTGACAACAAAGACACCCAGCTGCAGATCATCTCCACCCTGGAGAGCACCCACGTGGGCCTGCGCATGTACGAGCAGCTCTGCGACCGACAGAGAGAGCTCAAAGAATTGGTGAGTTACTGCTCCAGCAGACACACATGCTTTATTTACTAGGAACACGGAGGCCTGAAGTTAATGTGGACTGAACTCTTTGGCACCCCACTGTTCCAGTAGATCTGGCCTGAGAACATCTTGTTCCAGCTCATCCCACATTTTTGTTGGACTCGAGTCGACAGTTTTTCATTACATACAAACTTTTGCTTCCTCAATGATGCATGTGACCAATCTTCAGTTCCAGGACACTGCTGATAGCAACTGTCAAAGGGCCCCAGAGGTTAAGGACTGAGCATGCATTTGATAACAGAACAAAGAGAAAACACAAGGTTCATTCAGGAGAATAATGCATTGTGCTTGATGCCCGGGTTGGAGTGTCTGAATGATCTGGCTGAGCCCACATTGCAGAGCATTGCAGTATTTACCGTCATCGATTATTTCTGTTTATCTTTGCTATATGAACATCATTTTTAAGAGCCGGCTCCAACTTTGGTGAAGATGTCAAACCCATTTCAACATGAAGTTTGATATGTCACTTTGATGTCATTTTATTAGATATGAAATGGAGCAGTCCAGCATTAAACCGATCTGTAGCGTCTTTAGATATGAACGTAAATATCAAGTCTTTTGTCAGTCTCGTGTTGCTAATGAACTTTACTTCTTTCATTATGTTCTTCCTAATTTTTCAGAGAAATCATTTTAGGATTTCCTCTCTGATGTTTCTAGTAAATGGTAGATGGATCCCATCCGTCTGGCGTTGATCGTATCTCTAGCTTCAGTTTTCACCTATTTAAAGTTATTGACAAGGCAGAGTTTTGATTTGTTGCTTTTCTTTTGGAATATCTCTTTAATTATAACTGACAGTATTGTTTGTACTGGATTTACTGAAATCAAAACAGTAACAGTGACATACAACCCCAAATCAGAAAAAAATGGGACTGTATGTAAGATCTAAATTAAAACTGAAAGTAGTGATTTGTAAATCATCTGTGTCCTGTGTTACATTGAGAACAACACATCAGCACTTTATTTGATGTGACACCTCATCAACTTTATTCTTTGTTCAAAACAAACACTCACTTCAATCCTGATGTTGCAACACATTCCAAACAAAGTTGGGTTGGTTGCATTTCAGGGCCAGTGATGAGGTAAAACAATGAAATGATGATTCCAGTTGAACCAGGTGATGTCAGCAGGTGACTGCATCATGATTTGGTACAAATCATCATCATCATCATCAACTTTATTTACAGTGCCTTGCGAAAGTATTCGGCCCCCTTGAACTTTGCGACCTTTTGCCACATTTCAGGCTTCAAACATAAAGATATAAAACTGTAATTTTTTGTGAAGAATCAACAACAAGTGGGACACAATCATGAAGTGGAACGAAATTTATTGGATATGTCAAACTTTTTTAACAAATAAAAAACTGAAAAATTGGCCGTGCAAAATTATTCAGCCCCCTTAAGTTAATACTTTGTAGCGCCACCTTTTGCTGCGATTACAGCTGTAAGTCACTTGGGGTATGTCTCTATCAGTTTTGCACATCGAGAGACTGAAATTTTTGCCCATGCCTCCTTGCAAAACAGCTCGAGCTCAGTGAGGTTGGATGGAGAGCGTTTGTGAACAGCAGTTTTCAGTTCTTTCCACAAATTCTCGATTGGATCCCAAGGAGCACTGTGCAAGCGATAATATTGAAATGGAAGGAGTATCAGACCACTGCAAATCTACCAAGACCTGGCCGTCCCTCTAAACTTTCAGCTCATACAAGGAGAAGACTGATCAGAGATGCAGCCAAGAGGCCCATGATCACTCTGGATGAACTGCAGAGATCTACAGCTGAGGTGGGAGACTCTGTCCATAGGACAACAGTCAGTCGTATACTGCACAAATCTGGCCTTTATGGAAGAGTGGCAAGAAGAAAGCCATTTCTTAAAGATATCCATAAAAAGTGTCGTTTAAAGTTTGCCACAAGCCACCTGGGAGACACACCAAACATGTGGAAGAAGGTGCTCTGGTCAGATGAAACCAAAATCGAACTTTTTGGCAACAATGCAAAACGTTATGTTTGGTGTAAAAGCAACACAGCTCATCACCCTGAACACACCATCCCCACTGTCAAACATGGTGGTGGCAGCATCATGGTTTGGGCCTGCTTTTCTTCAGCAGGGACAGGGAAGGTGGTTAAAATTGATGGGAAGATGGATGGAGCCAAATACAGGACCATTCTGGAAGGAAACCTGATGGAGTCTGCAAAAGACCTGAGACTGGGACTGCGATTTGTCTTCCAACAAGACAATGATTCAAAACATAAAGCAAAATCTACAATGGAATGGTTCACAACTAAACATATCCAGGTGTTAGAATGGCCAAGTCAAAGTCCAGACCTGAATCCAATCGAGAATCTGTGGAAAGAACTGACAACTGCTGTTCACAAACGCTCTCCATCCAACCTCACTGAGCTCGAGCTGTTTTGCAAGGAGGAATGGGCAAAAATTTCAGTCTCTCGATGTGCAAAACTGATAGAGACATACCCCAAGTGACTTACAGCTGTAATCGCAGCAAAAGGTGGCGCTACAAAGTATTAACTTAAGGGGGCTGAATAATTTTGCACGCCCAATTTTTCAGTTTTTTATTTGTTAAAAAAGTTTGAAATATCCAATAAATTTCGTTCCACTTCATGATTGTGTCCCACTTGTTGTTGATTCTTCACAAAAAATTACAGTTTTATATCTTTATGTTTGAAGCCTGAAATGTGGCAAAAGGTCGCAAAGTTCAAGGGGGCCGAATACTTTCGCAAGGCACTGTATATAGCACATTTAACACAGCCAGAGCTGACCAAAGTGCTTAACACAATATCCACAAAAACCCATAAAACAAAATAAAACAAGCAACAGTAAAACAACATCACACTTAAAAGAACCACCCATCATAAAACAAAGGCTCAACAAGACAGGCTCATACTGGTTCGAACGCCAAACGGTACAGATGAGTCTTCAAATAAGTTTTAAAAGTGGACAACGAGGGGGCCTGCCTAATGTAAAGGGGCAATGCATTCCACAACTTAGGAGCCCCCACAGAGTCCTCTGTCCCCCCTAAGTCTCCGCCTAGCCCTCGGTGTCTCCAAGAGTAGCTGATCTGAGGCACCGAGAGGGGCTATAGGGATGCAGCAATTCTGTAAGATAAAGGGGGGCCAAACCATTTAAAGACTTAAAAACAAATAAAAGAATTTTAAAATGAATTCTAAAACACACCGTGGCATCCAGGAAAGGCCGAGCCCTTTAGGAGCAAAGATGGGCCGAGATGACGTCTTTTCCAGTCGCCCATGCATATTTTAACAAGACAATGCAAACCTCATCCTGCCATAACTTTGTTTGGAATGTGTTACAGGAATCAGCATTGAAGTGAGAGTTTATTTTGAATGAAGAATCAAATTGATAAAGTATCACATCAAATAATGAACTGCTGTGTTGTTTTCAACATCATGCAGCACACAGTTGATTAGTCATGCTACTCCACTCATCACATGGTTTTAATGACCATGTCCCTGCTTAGGTGCATCTGCTGCTGTAATGACTTACACCCAATTATAAACAATTTGTCCTGTTTACAAA